TGAACATCTCCCCCCCACCGCTTCTCCCCCCCAACAGTACGGCGAGCGTTACGGGACAAAATGTCTTCCACGACGTCCGCATCACCTACCTTCTCAAGTGATGAGGTTTGTTTACATAGATAATTTTACAGATAGTGTTTCATTAGTCTGTGTAGGGTATAGATTTCATGTAGACTTAAGATAATAAATATACCCGTTATTTTTTCTACATCGTTGTGACGTTTTGGTGAGCTGCTTTGCATGGTGATATAAACAGACGAAGTAATTGTAGTCATTAGTTTAACAGCGAGATTGTGTTCGCTGGAAGAATATATATTCCCCGTTTACAGAGTCTAAGTCATTTTGGTGGCACGGGGGTTACAACGCGAGGGAGAGGACGAGGGCGAAGGCAGGGAGGCCGTGCAGCTAGGGCCAGGCGAGAGAGGGGAGCCAGCGGGGTGAGAGCAGAGGAGGAAAGGCTTGAAGATCTCCAAAGGAGCCGGAGAGAAGTAACCGAGGTATATATCCAGAAAATTATTTTACAGAAAATTACTGAATCATTACCTGTGAAACGTCAGGGACGTTGCTGAATAAGTATACTGGAGAGTAACAGCATCATCACGCAGCATGTTATTGTTTTAGACAGGTCTGAGCATCCTGTACTCCAAAAACTGCAGTGATATTAGACAATTGTGTGTGTAGGATTAATTACCTGTCCAAGAGAAAACTGGCAACTTGAGCGTCACTTTGAAAACCTTTTTCCTCCATCAGTGACTTCCATCGTGTAAATGCCGTGCCAATGTTGCCAATGTTTTTTGCCGTTTCTTGTCACTCTTGCGTTTATTCTCGTCGTGTTTCCGCTTCTTAGATGACGGGGGTTCGGTGTCCGCCGCTTTTCGTTGTGATACAGAGTAGGCATGATCCTCCATTCGTCTGATGTTTGGCCACACAGTGCCAAACAGTTTGCAAAGTCACTCACGCCTGCCGCCTTGTTTACCTTTCTTGTTACTGAGGCGCAGTATACCTGCTTCTTCTTCTTCTTCTTTGGTTTCAGGCAGACTAAACGCTTCTCAGGCATAATACTGCCATCTACTGTTCAGTACCGTCTCAGTTCATCTCTCTCAACTTGCCGTAGTTATTTTTGAGCGTCATGGGAGATCTTGCAATCGCTAGTTTGTTGCCTCTGCGCTTACCGTAGCGCAAAGATGTCAGCCTCCATGGCTGCGAGACCCGCTCCTATGTAATTATAAATAACGAATTCTAAGGCAACGCAAATATTATGGTTAAAAGGCTGAGCTCATAGGTGATGATAAATAACATAGTTATGTATAATATATTAAATTTCTGACTTTATATCCCTGTAATTATTACACACTGTAGCTTTAACACTTAAAATAAGACAATGCAATTGCATTGTCTTATTTCAAGTGCATTTTATCTAAATATCTTATTTTAAGAGTAAAAGTACTCATTCAATTGGCAAACCACCTCATTTACCTGCTCAAAATAAGTGTAAATACACTTAATTTAAGAAACGTTTACTTATTTCCAGTGTATTTTTTTTTCCAGTGCAGGAAAGCAGAAAAATACACGTCAGGGCTGAGAAAAAGAGGGATCTTGTGATATTTTAATCAGCCCACCAGAAAGCTCCTGATCAGTATTCTGATGCAGGTTTTGAGAAGCCTTTCAGTCCAGCAGTGCCTCTGTGAGCGTTTGCCTTGAAGGGAACGACAACACCATTCCAATTAGAGGCTGGTGTGACTCTCCAATCCCCGTGCAGCACTTACAGGTTTCACAAGATCACATTTGCTTTGCCCAATTTAATCAGATACAGAATAGGGTGCGACGACAAAGAGGCACATGTCTGCGGACGCACACACCCACACACACACACACGGTCCTCACACATCATTAGATTCAGCTTTCCAGCCTTGTGGCTTTTATTACGCTAGATTGGAGAATGAAGCTATTAAGGCAATGAGCGAAGCCCCAGCAACCCTCTTACTGCCCCCACTATGCTCTGCTCCTCCTTTTACAAATTAGTAGGACTAAGGCACAACAACCTGCTCCAGGAGTTATAACCTGGAAAGAATTGTTCAGATTCTAGTGAACAGCAATAAAAGCAGTATGAGGTCAGTCTTTTTCCCTTCACAAGCAAGAAACATAAAGACACTCTCAACTTATTGACGCAGCACTGGAAAAACGATCTAGAAAGCAGTAAAAATTTCTTAAATCGAGTGTATTTACCCTGCATTTGAGTAGGTAAATGAGGTAGTTTGCCAATGGAATTAGTATTTTTATTCTTAAAATAAGATAATTAGATAACATGCACTTGAAACAAGACAATGCAGTTGTGTTTTCTTATTTTAAATGTAAACTGTCTCGTTCTATTGGCAAAATGTCTCTTTTACCTCCTCAATACAAGAACAAATGCACTCTTTTTAAGAAAAAAATACTAATCTAGATTTCGATTTTTCTAGTGAGTAAAGACTGAACGCAACGCTTTATATTTTCATATTAACGTACCGTTTAATCTATGTGTTGCAAGCTCAATCAATGCTTTAGCTTTCTGTGTTTAGTTATTAGATGACAGGCCTGGGCCGGTGTCAGTGAAAATATCACAGTTTCAAGGTATAACTGCACTTCTAAGAAAGGTTTAAAGGAAAATGTGATGTAATGGTTTCTGTTTGCAACAGAAAAGCAACAATTAAATCTAATATGTATCGATTACGGTGTGATAAAGTTATGTATATTGTCTTTCTGATTTACAGCAAGATGTTACACACTTTCTAATTCAAAAAGATATTTCATATCTTGAATTGTATTGTTGAGACCTGCCATACACTGGGAGATATTTTCAATCGTTGTCCTCAGCTACAGCTTTAAAAGTTAAAAGCTAACGAAGTTCTTCTTCTACCGTACGGCCCGACGCTCTGATGCCACCTAACTGCTCGTGCTGTATGTCCACCACACGACTCAGCGCCGAGAGATGTCGCTGGTCGGACTCTTCAATCTGAAGAAGAAGAACTACCTTGTTTGCACAAAGTTCAAGTGCGCAAAGTTCTGCAGGGTTTATACCGGAATAAGTAACTAATTTAATGTTCTTTTAATGCTCTTAGAAATCATTTTAATGCTATCAACATGTACCCACGACTCTCATATATACACATCAAAATCCTTCGTCATCTTTACCGTTGACAGGCTGCAGCAATGTCCCGAATTCCTCGCTTTTTCTCTCCGACTCGAGCTTCTTTTCCAAACATACGGCTTACGATCAACCGGAAGCAGTTCTGCACAAATATATATATATATATATATATATATATATATATATATATATATATATATCATAATATATCTGACGAAATTCTTTTTATAAACTTTTTTTTTTATAAGGCATTTTAAATGCTAGATAATCACATTTAATGAATTATAATGCCAATTAAGGCCTTAATTTAGAAAATAATTATTTAATGATTCTTAATGATTTTTAATGACCCACAGAAACCCTTTTCTGGCAAATCGTCTTGTAGCTCTGCTTCAACAGCAGAATTTACAGTAGGAGCCAATTAAAAATGGCCCTTCCCAGTCAAACACCAGCCGAATGGAAGCTAACTTCCCTGCAACTCCCAGAAAATCCCCTCCAACTTCCCGCCACTATAGTGACCCCACTCCTCCGTCCCCTGGGCGGGCATATATTTTTACTCTGACTCCTCCTTTCACTGAATTACAGGGTTTGACCAGGAGATGGAGCTTCTCTTTAGATCTTAATGTCCACAAATCATGACAGAATATTTTAGTGCAAAGATTGATGTTTAAAAAGGAATTTTAGGGACAATCAAAGTGGGGACATTTTGAATGGATGCTACTGTACGCACCAACACCTCACCACGGCCGACTGAATTTCCAACATGTTTGATTTTCTCCTGACGTTACGATTTCTGATTGGGAGGTGGTCGTGAGATAGCCTCGTGAGACCATCCTGATCTCGCGAGCTTTCAAGATTTCACTCGCAGATCAGTCTGGAGACTCTCCGTTAAAGAACATTTGGAGCCGTTCACCAAACGAACGTCCAATCAGCGTTGGCTTTGAGGCGGGTTGAGGTGTGACGCAACGAGAAGCGTGGCAGTTCAGTCTAAAGAACATGGCGACTTCAGCCGATGAAACTAGCGTTAGCGTGGCTATCGAGCAAGTTTTATCGGAATTACAGAGTATTTCTTCACTGAAAGAATAGCAAAACACTGCTCTGGAGGCTTTTCTCAGAGGAAAGGATGTTTTTGCTCTTCTCCCGACTGGCTTGTGGTTGTGTTTTCGTTGTCGCTCTGTTACTACGTCATATGCTTCGTTGATCTGATTGGTTTATTTGGCCCGTCTATCACCAACATAGGCCAATCAGCTAACCAGTATTTTCGCCCCTTTCCAAAATTACTTCAACGGAAGGTTTCCAGATGGATATGCGGAGTAAATCCATCTGTCGGAGTCAGGTTAGTCGTGAGAGGCTAATCGCCCCTCGTTAACCCCTGTATAGGTACACGATGCAGGACACACCATGAGGCTGAAACGTATCCCCAACTGTAGATAGGAAGAATTGATTGTGGAGAGGGGAAAGCCGGATTTAATTTATCTTCTAGATAATGCTTGTATGAGAATCACACTTTGGGTATTTAATATGTCAAGTTTTAATGGGAAGAATAGATTTCTGGGCATTTTTGGTGTAGAGATTCAACTTGGCTAGAAATGTTTTGCCCTAAACAAGGCAGAGAGCGATCAGGCTGTTGCACCGTACTCAGCAAAAATGCACCCATGCAATAAGTACTCAGATTAATTATTTTATAAGCTCCAATCAGATGGAGAAAACAATGATTTGCTGAACACTTTTAGGCTTTTTTTTTAAACAATACCTTTTAAAAACCTTTGTATACCTTGATAACTGAGACCGGCCCATGCAAAGATATAATACAAGTAATTAAAGTGTCGTTAAAGTCTTAAAGGTTGAATGTAACCTGTTTGTTTCCCGGCAGCAGTCCATCAACGACGCCATGCGCTGCTCCACATTGACCAGGATGAGCAGGAACGGGAGCGGAGGAGAGAACGGACGAATCCTCACCCACGACTTCCCCAAAACCGTTCAAACGCTGCCCTGTATGAGCCACACCGCCAGCATGGGACTGGGCGCCTCCGGCATGTGATCGCCCCCCCGTTCTGCTGGGATGGACAGACTGTCAGGGTGGGGCAGAACGAGAGCGCTGAGACTCCGCTGACCTAAAGATCCCCACTGTCTGCTTCAGACCAATCTACTCTCCTGGCTGTCAATGTGCTTGACTAAAACAAACAAAAAACAACAACAACAACATAAAACAAAGACTTGAATTTACTGCCAAAATGCACTCGCCAAACCGCTCCCAAATAAACTATGAACAGACTCAACTTTTTTTTAATAAATGGATGTTTTAACATAAAAGATACAGAAAACTGAAGGGATGTGTGCTGCAATAAAAAAGCTGTTAGCGAGGCGTGATTTTGACATTTTTTACCGTGTTCATTTGTGCGAAATGAAAAAAAAAAGACTCATTCTTCAGCGTGACGGCAGAGCTCTGCCATTTCGATGGAGGCGTTGACCTTCACCTGCGTGTGCAATACTCCTGGCAGGACGTGTCTTTGCACGGATCTGACAAAGGACGATGATAACTTGTGATTGCTTTGGGGACATTCGCCCTTCCAGTTCTTTTTTTTTTTCAATCCATTTTTAAAGAACGGATGGATCTGTTCATGATAAACTATACGGTTTATGATGTAATCGAGCAGAGCCTGGTGAGAAAAGGTCTGAGCCTACTGCTGACGGAGACGGCTACAGTGAACACGCATTGCTGCTACGCCTCATTTCACACTTCATGCCTTGTCTTGGTGCCATACGTCCTTCCCCTACAAATGCACAAAGATAATCTCTATACTTGTTTGGGTGGTTAATGGTCAAAGTCGAAAATGTCCACATTAATCTAAAGATTCTTTTTTTGGCTGTGTTTAGCCATGATGGACCTTACACTGTATTCTCCTGTTGTGTAAAATCCACAGCATTTCTCATAAAGAACATCCTCCATTTTATGGGAGGCCATATTGTTCAGCCACTCCTGGGTTTAGTTTCAGTGAAATTGGCAGCATGCACTGTCGCTAACCGATCCGTACCGGTAGCACGATCCGTACCATCAGCTCATTTGCGCCTGCGCGAACAGAATAACTTCCGGGTCGCCAAAAAATAATGTAATTACGGTACTGAAAAAACTTTATTTATACCCTTAAATAATTAAAGAATACTAAACTACATCGTAAAGACAATATTGAAGACTTTTCTGGAAGAAATGGATGCTTTTTAAATTCAATCCATTGTATTGCTTGACGTCATTTTTCTGGAATAAAAATCCAAATTTTCGGGAAATGTTCCCTTAACAATGAAAAACTGCAGGTCACGAAAGGTAGCAAATGAATCCATTGTGGGATCAGTACTGATGGAGTGCATAGTTAAGTACAGAGTAAATCAAATATTTAAACAAATTTAAATATATACGCTGTGTGACGTACACTATATTGCCAAAAGTATTTGCTCACCTGCCTTGACTCACATATGAGCTTAAGGGACATCCCGTTCCTAATCCATAGGGTTCAATATGACGTCGGTCCACCCTTTGCAGCTAGAACAGCTTCAACTCTTCTGGGAAGGCTGTCCACAAGGTTTAGGAGTGTGTTTATGGGAATTTTTGACCATTCTTCCAGAAGCGCATTTGTGAGGTCGCACACTGATGTTGGACGAGAAGGCCTGGCTCTCAGTCTCCGCTCTAATTCATCCCAAAGGTGTTCTATCGGGTTGAGGTCAGGACTCTGTGCAGGCCAGTCAAGTTCATCCACACCAGACTCTGTCATCCATGTCTTTATGGACCTTGCTTTGTGCACTGGTGCACAGTCATGTTGGAAGAGGAAGGGGCCAGCTCCAAACTGTTCCCACAAAGTTGGGAGCATGGAATTGTCCAAAATGTCTTGGTATGCTGAAGCATTCAGAGTTCCTTTCACTGGAACTAAGGGGCCAAGCCCAGCTCCTGAAAAACAACCTCACACCATAATCCCCCCTCCACCAAACTTTACACTTGGCACAATGCAGTCAGACATGTACCGTTCTCCTGGCAACCGCCAAACCCAGACCCGTCCATCAGATTGCCAGATGGAGAAGCGCGATTCGTCACTCCAGAGAACGCGTCTCCACTGCTCTAGAGTCCAGTGGCGGCGTGCTTTACACCACCGCATCCGACGCTTTGCATTGCACTTGGTGATGTATGGCTTGGATGCAGCTGCTCGACCATGGAAACCCATTCCATGAAGCTCTCTGCGCACTGTTCTTGAGCTAATCTGAAGGCCACATGAAGTTTGGAGGTCTGTAGTGATTGACTCTGCAGAAAGTTGGCGACCTCTTCGCACTATGCGCGTCAGCATCCGCTGACCCCGCTCCGTCAGTTTACGTGGCCTACCACTTCGTGGCTGAGTTGCTGTCGTTCCCAAACACTTCCATTTTCTTATAATACAGCTGACAGTTGACTGTGGAATATTTAGGAGCGAGGAAATTTCACGACTGGATTTGTTGCACAGGTGGCATCCTATCACAGTTCCACGCTGGAATTCACTGAGCTCCTGAGAGCGACCCATTCTTTCACAAATGTTTGTAAAAACAGTCTGCATGCCTAGGTGCTTGAATTTATACACCTGTGGCCATGGAAGTGATTGGAACACCTGATTCCAATAATTTGGATGGGTGAGCAAATACTTTTGGCAATATAGTGTATATTTGCGCATTGAACTCACAGGCGATTGAACTTTTTATGTATTTCTGTTTTTTTTATTTTAAAAAAATGCAATATTGACGAAAATACAAAGATATACAAAAAGAAACCCATGCCTCTAAAAAATACAAAAGAATAAAAAAGTAAGAAAAAGGAAATATTGCCACCGGAAGTTATTCTGTTTGTGCACGCGCAAATGAGCTGATGGTACGGATCGTGCTTCCGATACGGATCGGGTAATGACATGCACATCTTATTGAGACAGACATTTCCCCTATGGGTCTTTCACACGTGACGTCACGCCCTGTGCATTGTGGGTAATTAGCGCCATATTGGGGGTTACCGTGCGAGAAATTAGAGCTGCTGTTCAAGCGTCCCGAGGAGATTTACCTTTTCTTTTGTAAATTAATTTTTTTTTTTTTTTTACCAAAACCAACAAAAAAAAAACACCTATATATTTGCTATGAACCTTAATATTCCAGGGGTCACAAGATTAAATTTATTTAGCATGTAAAAGAGCTTTATGTACTTTGAGTTTAATGATTTTGGAAGCTTTTTGCCGCTTGATAGGTTCGGGTGCACCATAATTTACACGTAGATAAAGCTGTGAAGTGAAGACTTGTACAAGTTTGACTAACATCTTCCCTTTGTGGTGACCACAGTGTTAGTGCATCCTTCTGGTTGAAATGAGTATAAATCTTGCACCCAACCATTAGTAAACAGTCCATGAGCGTCCAGAGATTTGTAGTTTCGGAATTCTTCAAGTGTATATGCACTAACACCATTAACAAGATAACAAATTATGTCCATATTTGTAGTTGGTGGAAATGGCGAGGGATCGGCTGTCCATGCTTTAGCTGCTAGCTCATACGGATCTATATTGCTAATTGAGGTTAGCTTAGCTAAATACCGGTCTCTGGCATCCTTATTGAGTTTATCTCTGTAAGGCTTCTTCTCGTTTTTATTGTGGATGTCCATGTTGCTGAAGTTATCGCGCTGTCATCGCGGCTTTACTGTCGATACTTGAACTCAAATGAACTTCATTGCTATTAGGCAGGTCACCCCCCAACATGGCGCCTCCTTGTGTCGAGGTCACGTGACTGCAAAAGACCCATAGATTAGGCTAAAGGGAAGGTTAGTCTCATCTAGCTTACTGCTGCTAGCTAATGGTGGATAGGGTTGCCGACCCGCGTGCCAGCTGACCCGATCGCCTTTACCCCTTCTGGCGTGGTGATTTTTTTAGCCCCCCACTGCAAAAACATTCTAGAAATAAGTAAAAATTTCTTAAATTAAGTTTATTCACCCTTAATTGAATAGGTAAATGAGATGGTTTGCCAATGGAATGAGTAATTTTACTCTTAAAATAAGATCATTAGATAATATGCACTTGAAATAAGACAATGCAATTGTGTTTTCTTATTTTAAGTGTGAATTGTTTTGATCCATTGGCAAAATGTCTAGTTTACCTCCTCAATTCAAGAACAAACGCACTTATTTTAAGAAAAATGACTTACCTAGATTTAGATTTTTTTGCAGTTTTTTGTGTGTGAAATAATTTTTTTTTTAACTATTTGACTCAAATCTGCATTGAATTAGGTGTATATTTGCAGTGTGCTTTATATTCTTTATCGCAGACTTTTTCCACCCAGGTATTTGTTTTTTCGCATTCCTCCGTATATTTCTGCATCCTTTTTTTTTTTTTTGCGGAGGAGGAGCGTCGCTATGCGAAGATGCACCGCCCCCAAAAGCAGCGTCGGCATTTAAATTCCTCCGTTCGTCCCCCATAATGCTCTGTTGTCTCCCGCTATCTTCTCCGTGAGCAACACTTGGCTCGACCAATGGTATGAAGGGATTCTGGATCGTTACGTATATGTCGTCAGCTCATTGGTCACAACGCAGGACCGGGACGGGAACAAGTTTACCGTAAGTTTTGTATCTAATGTACCCTTGTTCTTCGTTTTCCATTAGCTTTTTTCTGACTATTCTTTACTCTCACAGTAATACGGGACAAAGCGCATTCCTTTTCCACTAAATACGGGACAGTTGCTTCTATTTCTAGATACGGAACGAATCTGTTTTTCGAGGGACGGTTGGCAATCCTAATCCCGAACTACAGAGATAACAGGAAAACAGGGCTGAGAGGGAAAAGAAAAATCTCCGTGGATGCCTTATACAATGCATCTTAACTTAAGTGGCTAAACATAATGAACTCACCAATGGTTGTTAATAAAATACAATTATAACAGACAAAAGCCCCATTTACATTAACCTTTTGAAACCGTACTGAGATGTGTCCGAGCACCGTAACCGAGATAACTGTTGAGTGTAAATGGCACGCACAACTAAACTTTACCATGCCAGACAAAACCGAACCGCGCTAACATGGTACTATCAGTAGGGCTCGGCACGGTTCAGTTCTCGCTCGGTTCTCTGATAACTAAGAGCGCATGTCTTCACAGGTGGCTCCTAACCTTTCGCATCTCGACAGCTTGAATATTTTCCAGCTCAACATCCTTTCAACATAAAACATCAAAAACTAAGATGTAGTTCAGTATTTCTAAAGCTTGCTGTAGATTTAACGAAGACGTTTTATGACCACAGATAACAGAAAATCTGAACACGGTGTGATGCTTAATCACAGAGGATCTTCAGACGGCAGGAGATTAAAATGCATCATGGTTCTGATCAAAATAAATAGTTTAGAGGTTTTCCTCACTAAACCAGGTGAGACTCTTCTGTTGTCTAATTTAAAGAAATGTGCCGAACATGTCTGGATCTGATGGCCTCTGAAGCTCTGACTCCTTTTGGACTCTATGCCTCTCTGGATCTTTGATTCACAATCCTCCTAATTCTTCTGCACATTTTTTCCTGCCAACCAACTTTCCATTGACATCTTTGGATGAATCATTTCGGTTTTAGCTTCTTTTACTGCGCAGGAAAAAATTCATCTAAAAAAGTCATTTTTTCTTAAAATAGGTGCATTTGTTCTTGGTTTGAGGCGGTAAAACAGACATTTTACAAATGGAACAAAACAAAATACACTTAAAATAAGAAAACACTATTGAATTGTCTTATTTTAAGTGCATATTATCTAATTATCCTTTTTTAAGGGTAAAAATAATAATTCCATTTGTAAACTCTTATTTACCTACTCAAATTAAGGGTAAATACACTTAATTTAAGACATTTTTACTTTTTTCTAGGTCGTTTTCCAGTGCAAGGCTGAGTTTAAATAACACAACAAAAAATGCCTTCTAAAAAATAAGAAAAAAAAGTATAGTTTTTTAAGTGAATAATTGCTTATTTTGAGCTAAATAATCTGCCAGTGCAGCAAGCAAATGAGACTTGGTAAGATTTCCTAAAACAATAACTTAATATCCAAGTGGTAAGCATCC